CGTTTAGGTGCACCAGGTCTGTCCAGCGTCCTCCCCCGCCACCTGATCCAACTCACCACCAGGTGGTGTTCAGTTGACAGCTCAGCCCCTCTCTTTACCCGAGTGTCCAGAACATATGGTCGCAGGTCTGGCTGAATTAATTAATTAATTAATTAATTAATTCTTTGATCTTAAGTATGATCAACCTATCTCTAATAATCAGCTATGTACCACAGGCCTTCAAGCTGGCTGTAGTTAAACCTTTACTCAAAAAGCATCTCTAGACCCAGCAGTCTTAGCTAATTATAGGCCAATCTCCAACCTTCCTTTCATATCAAGCATCCTTGAAAGAGTAGTTGTCAAACAGCTAAGACAGCTTAAAGACATAAAGACCTGGATGGCCGCTAACTTTCTGCTTCTTAATTCAGATAAAACTGAGGTTATTGTACTCGGCCCTGAAAATCTTAGAAATATGGTATCTAAGCAGATTCTTACTCTGGATGGCATTACCTTGGCCTCCAGTAACGCTGTGAGGAACCGTGGAGTCATTTTTGACCAGGACATGTCCTTCAACGCACATATTAAACAAATATGTAAGACTGCGTTCTTCCATTTGCGCAACATCTCTAAAGTTAGAAATATCCTGTCTCAGAGTGACGCTGAAAAACTAGTTCATGCATTTATTACTTCCAGGCTGGACGACTGTAATTCATTATTATCAGGATGTCCAAAAAACTCCCTGAAAAGCCTTCAGCTGATCCAAAATGCTGCAGCAAGAGTTCTGACAGGGACTAGAAAGAGAGAGCATATTTCTCCTGTTTTGGCTTCCTGTTAAATCCAGAATTCAAAATCCTGCTCCTCACATACAAGGTCTTAAATAATCAGGCCCCATCTTATCTTAATGACCTTGTAGTACCATATCACCCTATTAGAGCACTTCGCTCTCGCTCTGCAGGCCTACTTGTTGTTCCTAGAGTATTTAAAAGTAGAATGGGAGGCAGAGCCTTCAGTTTTCAGGCCCCTCTTCTGTGGAACCAGCTTCCAGTTTGGATTCAGGAGACAGACACTATCTCTACTTTTAAGATTAGGCTTCAAACTTTCCTTTTTGCTAAAGCATATAGTTAGGGCTGGACCAGGTGACCCTGAATCCTCCCTTAGTTATGCTGCAATAGACGTAGGCTGCCGGGGGATTCCCATGATGCATTGAGTTTTTCCTTTCCAGTCACCTTTTTCACTCACTATGTATTAACAGACCTCTCTGCATTGAATCATATCTGTTATTAACCTCTGTCTCTCTTCCACAGCATGTCTTTATCCTGTCTTCCTTCTCTCACCCCAACCAATCGCAGCAGATGGCCCCGCCCCTCCCTGAGCCTGGTTCTGCTGGATGTTTCTTCCTGTCAAAAGGGAGTTTTTCCTTCCCACTGTCGCCAAAGTGCTTGCTCATAGGGGGTCATATGATTGTTGGGTTTTTCTCTGTACCTATGAAGCGCCTTGAGGCGACTTTTGTTGTGATTTGGCGCTATATAAATAAAATTGAATTGAAATTATTGCAGTATAACTAAGGGAGGGTCACCTGATCCACGTTTGATCAAAAAGGAAAGTTTGAGGCCTGATATTAAAAGCAGAGCTAGTGTCAGGTTTGTGTGTGAGAAGAGAGCTGTTGTTTTTAACAGAGCGTAGCTACAACCTCGACAACATGATCCATCTTAAGACTAACACATGTTTTGAACTGTGCCTTTCACGTCCTCCTCGCTGATATCTGGCAGCATTGGACCACCCCTCACATACATTTGTTTTTGGAGCCGTCTTGGCTTCAGCCTGTCTTGAGGTGCTGGCCCTGCCATTCTGACCTTCTCTCATCCGCTGTGACCTCCTGACCTGTGGCCCGCCTGTTCCTGACTGTAGCTTGCAGGAGTGACTGCCCTCCCAAAGTCGAGCAGCAGAGCGTCTGGCAGCAGAGCAGCTGGGGATTTGGGCAGATCTGGGCTGATGTCTCCCCTCCTTGGAAGTCTGATCTGAGCTGTGCAAGTGCAGCAGCAGGTGGCAGAGAGACAGCAGTGACTAAATATAGTGTTCAGGGGCAGAGACGGGTTCTTTTATCTGCTGATTGAATAATTTATCCAGCAGCTCCATCCAAGCTGGAATCCTTGGACCCGGGTCATCAGTCTCAGCTGATTTGTATGAGGGGTAGACAATCGGGGCCAGACTCCAGCGTGCACTTCAGTATCGTCGTGTTGAGCTTGTTTGTTTGCATTCCTGCACAAAAAACAATCGCAGTGCATTTAAATGGAGAAATGGGAGCTGCTGTGTGACGGAGGCCGACTTGCAGCGAGGGCAGATCTGTGTGGTACTTTAGCTCATATTTATAGGTCACATGGATCTTTGTAATTACCCTTTTGCTAAGTCTGCAAATCAGCTCTCCTCAGCTCAGTGGCCGGCAGGCCTCTGAAGCAGGAATGCTAAATACATAGGACCAAAAAAGTGCATGTGTCATTAAAGGGAAAGCCTCCGATTTGGCTGCATTTCCACTGCAGTCCACATTTGTGTTCTGTGCTCAGACAAAGGCATTTCATGTGCTAGCTCCATCTCCTGCATGTTGCTGCATGAACAGGCAACTTCCTTCACATGATACAAATATAATAACCCCTAAAAATCAACCGTTGCAACATCGGTATTTCTCCTTCTTTGTCTGGCACCATCACACAACCACTGTGTTAATTAACACAACTTCTGAATTTCTGCATGCTTGTGCTCCTGTGTGGATTATCACCCCCCGTGCCCGCAAACAATCCAATCAACACATCTCTTCTGTTCTTGTGTAACCCGCCCAAGAAGCACCCAGTGACTCTAAGAACACGGTGGCATCATAACAATAGTTGTCCTAATAATGACTGTGCTGACGCCTCACAGCGAAATCAGAAATATTTGTCTAGGCCAAATGCATGAGGGGCCCATATGATGTAATTGTCCAAATGAGGGACAGTACAGAGGGTGGAGAGGGCTCTTCCTCTCTATGATGTCATGACACTGCAGCAGTTTGCTGGAGATAAGGACCGAGTGCAACCTCACATCCAGAAATGTGGTTTTACTCCTCTTATCGCTGCTCTACAGCTGATTGGTGGAAGGGTGAGAATAACTCAAATGAAGGCTAGATAAGCCCACTCCTCAGTTACAGTAAATATTCGCGATGTGCACGAGCCATTTCTGGGGAATAATGATATCACGTCAGCATTCTGATTGAGAGCTGCTCCCATGTATGAGCCTGTTTTCATGACTAAAATGCTCCCCGTCCCTGAGTAAACACCGACTGTATCCGCTCCACACCAGCCACTGGCTCCTGCATTGATTGGCCAATGCAATTTATTAGCCATTGTGACAGTTTCCTGTACAGCCAGGGTCGACGGGGGAAACAGAGGTATGCAGATAAAGTGCTTTCAAACATGCCACACAATACCCATTGTGTTTTGATTACAGGTTGAACTCTTACCGCTAGAATGTTTTCCACATACCTTTCAGTGTGCGTCTGCTTGTTATTCAGCTCGCACTGTCGTGCCGCCCGCTCTATTCCCTCAGCAGACAGAGCTAAAGTCGGAAATGTTGAAAAACAAAAGGACGGTGTCTCAGTGACACCCTGAACAATGAATCCATGTCCCTGAACTCCACCTTTCATTTCAATTTGTAAGTGCCAAGCTTGGTGAAAAGTTTCATAAATCAGCCATAAAATCTGTAAAACGACTGCATTTAGCTACGTGTTCTCGTGTCCAGCACTTACTGGGATAAACCAACATGATGACAATGCAGCCCAACTACAGCGTGACCTTGTACTTGAAAGTGACGAGGCCAGTGACCTTTAACCTCCCTCCATGGTTTACTCCAGTTCAAAATAACGGAGACATGCAGCTGTTAGGATTTGGCAGAGCAGACACCTCTGCAGCAGCTGTCTGAAACCGACTGACGCGACGCTGTGACGCTGGCGTAGGTTATGATGCCCTGTTTGTGCTGGGCTACACTGAACATGGCACCCATCATGCTCCGTGAACTCGACAGAGGTCAGAGAGTTAGCCAGTTTAGGATTTGGCCAGTTGGAAAGCGGTGGTTAGCGCTGTGGTCTCACAGCAAGAAGGTCCCGGGTTTGAATCCACCTTTCTGTGTGGAGTTTGCTTGTACTTCTGGATCCTCTGGCTTCCTCACACAGTCCAAAGACTTGCTGCTACTGGGCTGATTCTAAATATGTGGGTGTAAGTAATGGACCTGCAACAGGCTGGTTACCTGTCCAGGGTGTACCCCGCCCCTCGCCCTATGGCAGCTGGGATAGTTCCCCCCCCCCCCCACACACAGTACTGGGGGAGGAATCCATGTCTGTAACAGAGCTCCTCTAACATGGAGAGAGGTGATTAAAGGTCTAAGGTCCAGCACTGGTGGACAGTACTGTGGTTGTGCTCCATTCTTCTCACCTTCACACCTCAGCACCACGCCTGCCTTCACTGTATGATGTGTAACCATCCATGAAAGGAGGATGAAAATGCTACAGTGTCAGTGCCCAAACCTGTGAAGCTGCATTCCTTCAGTGTGACTTTGTGTTATGTTTTCTGCTCATCCACGTCTCAGTCTCAGAGGGCCTGGAGCCTATCCCAACTGTGACGAGGAAGAGGCACAGACGGACAACCATTCTCATTTTATCAGCTACATCCAGCAACTTAGACTCGCCAACTAACCAAACATGCATGTCCTGTGTGACTGTGGAGGAGGCTGTGGTAGCCGGGGAGAATGCATGCACACATAGTGCTAACTCCACACAGGAAGGCTGCAGCACGGCGGCTTCAACTCAACTCAGCCCAACTCAATTTATACAGCATGAAATCACAACTGTCAGCTGAAGGCTCCCTATGAACAAGCATTTGGTGACAGTGGGAAGGAAAACAGGAAGAGACCTCCAGCAGAACCAGGATCAGGGAGGGGCGGGGCCATCTGCTGCGACTGGTCGGGGATGAAAAATATGTTTTTATATTTATTTATATATATCGATAACCTGTATGTATGTATGTCCATTAGGTGTGTGGGTTTGTATTACATTCCTGAACTGTGTATTTGCACATATACACGACCAGCTGCATCATCAGAACCATTAAAACTATTGTTGTGTAGCGCCCTCTTGTGGGACCAAACAGCAGGTGCTTGTTGAGATGGAGAGGGGACATTGAAGGTGTCCTGTGGTCCCGAGCAACAGACGTGTTGGGGTCCTGTGCATTGTTGGGTTTGACATGCTGTGGAATCTGACCAGTTTGCTTACCTGGTCAGTTCCCAGGGCTCTTTGTTTGCTCTTAATTCACATTGTCAGTATGATTATATCAGCCTTAAAGGAAACTTTGCCAGGCTGGGTGACACAGACTTACAAATGGTTTCCCAACAACAGGCTTATTTACCCACAGTTGCATCAGTACAGCAAAACTGCTCACTGTGTGCGCTCAGACATGAACACTTCCACGCCAGGTCCACGAGGTCTCAGTGAACATCTGCTAAATCCATACTGCCACCCTGATGGAGGAGACTCCCTCCTGGGAGCGTTTTTAAGAATAATGCAGAGGTGCCATCTAGTGGACAAACACTGGAAAGCTTTTTGTTAAACAACCAAAGCTGTCCCAGTATTTTTGCATTCAGCCTGGATGTTGTTCCTCCATCTTTAAATCCATCATGTGCTTATTTTATGGTCTCATCTCTGGAGGAGCAGCTGCTCGTTGGTTAGGATAGTCAAGGTTAATGTGACGATACTCGCTGTGAATACTTGGGCACGTTTTTGGAGCTCTTCCACAGATGAGCGTCAGCAAAAGGAGTCATATCATCATCAGTCATCAAGAACATAAAACTAGATGGATAACGGCCTAACAGAACACCAAGTTCAGCCTCCTGCTTCATGTCAGACAGAAGCATTTTCTCTGAAAGGCATCCAAACATTTTTGTTTTGCTTTTTTCTTTGTTTTTTAAAGCAGAAAATACTTTATGACAGAGTTTTGTTTTCTGCTTCTTTCCTTCATTGAACCACTCGTCCACTTATTCCTCCTCTGGACCATACTATCAAACTGTATATAAATGATGGCCTGTCATCATCTTGGTTTGAGCATTGTGCCTGTCACCGTGTTGTTGGTGCTTTTCTTCTTTAAACCAGATGAGGGTCGACTCTGACCGAGAAACAACACAAGACACTCGTGGTACTTAATAACACAGACAACACTCTATACTTTTATATCATTTTCATTTTGTCAGATCAAGTCGCCCCCTGCTGGTCAGTAGACAGAATTGAGCAGCTAAGCTTCACCGTACAAACCACACATGCTCCTCTTTTGCATTAAAAATAAGTGAGTCACTTCAGTGATGATCCTTGGAAGTATTGTCAAAGACACGTCTTCTTTGAAATACTGAGATTTTAGTGTCAGCTTATTATTTTAGTTCGACTGGCAGACTGAAGCACGCGCGAGTAACTCAGCAACACTCGAGAGCAGGTTTTGCTTGAAAATTTAATAGAAATATAACCAACAACATTTAGAGTGAAAAATACAACTGCATTCACGTTTCAAGTCTACTGCAGAGAGCTGTGAGGTAACAATGTGACCATTTTAAAAGACAAACTTCTCCTGTGAGATTACACTGAGGTGAAAACGGAAACGGACTCTCGTTTAAAAGTGGTGTTAAACACTGCACAGACTGAAAGCCGTTCGTCTGTGTAACAGGGCCTCATAACTTAACATTCATTGCATGACTCGTTTTGCAAGACGTTACACATTTCCCCTGTTGCTCAGCTCCACCGAGGGCTCAGGTGCAGGATGCTGCGGTGGTTGGGGTTCCTCTGGTAACGAAACACACACACACACACACACACACACACACACACACACACACACACACACACACACACACACACACACACACACGTTTGAAAAATGCTAAATTAAGCAAGCCGCACTTGCACGCACTGGTTGGTGAAGGATCTGAGACGTAGAACCACAGCAGAGCTACTCAGACACTGAGCTGACAGTCGGCTGTTTGAGCCTTTAGCAGCGCCGCAGAAAGGAAAGGATGAGACAAACGAGGATCACGATGTGGCCCAGTTCTTCCTCTGAGTTGCCAGAGCACCAGAGTGTTATTGGAGCATGTGTGCAGATGAGGGGGATGTGTTTGTAACTGTGTGAGGACAGGAGCTGTCTGAAGTTAGAGCTTGAACAGAGGACCACTGTTCAGACACACGGGCACAAGCATGCATGTTACAAAAGAAATGACAACTTTTTGTGCGTCCTTGCACAAATTAACACTCGGAAGCCGCTTCAACATTTAGTTTTTGGTGTTTGTGTCTTTTGTGTTTTATTACCTCCAAGCAGCTGCTGCACTGCTTTCCTGTCTTCAGCAATGTAGACGGCAGTAACGACGAAAAACACTCCCCCGACAATCCCGACCACGGGGCAGAGCAGCAGGCTGTACTTCAAACTGTCAAAGTTCCTGTCGGGGCTACCTGGGTATATAGCATCAGAGATCTACACCAGTGCAGGTATGAAATCGGTGTTAGTGGTCAGTGACAGAATCAGAGATGATCTCCTAAAGCTTACTTTCTTACCACTCCTAATAAGTAAGGGCTCCCAGCATCACCCAGCAGATGTCCGACTGTAATCTGCAGAGCCTCCGCTGTCGCCCTCCTTGTTGGTACGACAACATACTGAAGCGAGAAGCACGAGCAAAAGGGGCGTGTCACATTTGAGCCGACACTTTGAGGTTTTTACTGTCAGAGTTAATGCTCACCAGCAGTATGTCAGCCAAGACCGCCCAGTTCAACGAGAGCAGCAGCTCGCCCAAGAAAATGAACACCTGAAACGTTCAAGACAAACAGTCTTTCATGTTTCAGTCATAACAGGTGCTCACGATGTTTTATTTCAACCGATGCCTTTAACTTCTCTACTCTGAATGTGAACCTTTGACATTGTGACTAGAATTTAAATGAAAGAAGAAAAAGGAGGCTTTCTTTGACGTTTGGACCTATTGCTGCATGATGCATCACTACAAGTCCACCAGCAGAAACCATCTGAAGAGAATTTTGCCAGATGAACCATTAAAGGATGCTCAGTCTTCTTAATGTTGTCCTAAATATCACAGTTTGCCCTAAAGCTGTGCCTTCAGTGACTAACCAACAACGTCACCACCTCGAGGTATACTCAGCCAGAGGATAGCTCCAAAGTCTGTCTTACGTAAGTGGCGGGAATGCTTGCTGATGCCACAAAGATGGTGATAAAGAGGCACGGCACTGATCCAAGCATGCCCACGGCGCAGATGAGTGGATCAGCATTTGGCACCTTGTCTCTAAACCGTCTGGATAAACTAGTGCCGAGAGCCCCGCCCAGAATGCCCGTGGCCACCGTTACAGCACCAAAGATGTAACTGCACAGGAAGCAGAAGAGAGCACACAGTACGGTCAAAACTGCACCGATTCAGGCTGGAGCAAGTAAGCGACGTGGGGAAAAGGTCATGCTATACCTGTCCGAGGAGTCACCTGGTTTGTCGCTGAGTTTCTGATAGACACGAGCTCGGGACAAAAAGTTCGGCAGCCAGAAAGCCAGCGCCCCGGTGAGGAAGGCCAGGGCCGTCACTCCCAACGATGACCACACGTAACTTTTACTGAGGTCAGAGAACCAAGAAGACAAGATTGTTTAGAAGCAAACACCATTTGTTTGGGGTTTTTCACGCTTGCAAGGGCAAAATATAAATCGTACTTCTTCAGAAGATATTTGACATCCTCCAAGTAAGAGCTCTGCTCAGTCACACCCTCTCCGTGGGTTTCTGCAGCACCTCTCGGCGGGTTGGGGCACAAAACGATCATCAAAATGAGTCCCACTGCGCCCATGATGGGTGTGATCTGAGAACAGAGCCAAATAATCCAGCATCACTTTGAATCAAATCGCACTTCTGCATCGTGAATAAGAAAAATGTTCTCACCCTCAGAGCCCAGTGCCAGTCCCCTGTGAGAGATGCAAAGCCACGCCCTGTTATATACCCAAGACCGCTGCAAACAGGCAATAGTGTGATCATGATGCACAAACAAGCTCATATCGCCATATGACATCTTAACAAGTGAGAGATTAAGACGGGCGATAACGTACGGAAACCTAAATCTAGAGTCACTGCTGTGTCACCACTCATTGCAACACCAGCTCTGCACACGAAACAACTGTGGTGAGGAGAAACCTACCAAACATCCACCCAACATTCAGCAACACTTTCAGCCGTGCAGCAGCGCAGCAGCAGCAGCGCATCATTTGAATGAAACTGTTAAAGCGTGCAAAAAGAAAAACAGCTGTTTACCTTCCGACAGGGATAAAGATGTAGAAGATGCAGATCATGATGCTCCTTTTGCCCCCAGTAAAGAGATCGCTTATGATGGTCGGAGCGACGGTGGAATAGCTGGCTTCTCCGGTCCCGACCAAGCCTCGCAGCAGGGCGAGAAGCCAGAATTGCTGCATAGACAAAAACATCAAAGACATTCAACATGTTTTCTGTCAAGCGCACATGGTTACATGCACGGAGAGTCATCAGCACAATCAGTCTGCAGATAAGGTACAACAAACCTCTGATGCATTTTCAACACAAACATGGGGAAATGATCTCAGACCCCACTGAGTGTCACAGCTCCCACTCCCTGAAACTCCCTCTTAACTCTGCGCCTGTCAAAACTACAGCTGAATGTGATGGAGGAGTCTCTCCCCCTGTAGTTAAACCACTTCGAAGGATATCAAATGTGAATACACAAACAGACTGTTTTGTAGAAAAAGCTGCACTGATGCAAAAATGAATCGCTTGATGGGTTCCAGTGTGATCACAGAGCGCAGCGCGCCTCCTCACCAACGTAGTTTGGTCACCTCAGACTAACTTAATAACTTATTGTGCCGTCCTCACTTTACTTCACTGAAACCTTTGATACCACAGACTATAAAATGCTGTCAAGCGCTGGGCTGGAATTTCCAGTGTTGAAATCAGAAACTCTGCGTAACCTCTGCAGACCAGCTTTGTGACTTTTCTTCTCAGACGTCTCGATCTGATGAAACCTCACCCGACAGCTTAACATTTGTCAGCGTGGTTATGACACAGCTGTATGTTTCTATAGAGCCAGATGACAATAACGTTTTTTAAACCTAATGAAGACAAATTGTTCATTCTTTTAATTTAATAATTCAGATTGTCTGACGGGGTGCAGGTTAACCGTCTTGGACTTTCAGTTTCTGCCTCACAAGAGTGCGACTCAGCTGATGGAGTTTGGTAAGAAAACTACCCTGAACCACAAACACTGAGCCAAATGTTGAAATTCAGGAGCCTTTCCAACAGACGTGTGATGAATTAGAACAACGCAGGGAGCAAAGTGAACACGTAGCAATGCAAAGTTGTGTTACTTTGTTATTCCTTGTAAAATACTCCTCACTTACCGATTCATTGACAAAAGAGCTGGCGGTTGCAGTCAAAAGCCAGACACTCAAGCCGCCAATCATGATGTATTTGCGATTGTAGCGGTCGCCAAGGTAACCGAAGAGAGGGGCCAAAAGGAGAAAACTGCAGATGAAAACTGAAAATTGATGGAATCAGTTATTCCGTTTCAATGACATCATTCGTTCACAGTAAACACACAACGATCAGTGAAAGCTCCAAACACAGCGCTGCTTAATTAGGTGCCTGATTGTATGTGCAGTTGACGACACATGGGCCTGCCATGCACTTACATTAAAAAGAAAAAAGCAAAACAAATTTGATCTCCATCAGTGCTTCTGTGTGTTTGTCAAACAGCTGCTTCATCATACCTGTCTGCAGAAGTCCAGCGGTGCTGTCCTTTATATCAAAGAATTTTTGAATATCTGTAAGGACGCCTGTAAGGCCAGAAACACCATTCAGTGCAAGCCCTGCCCAACTGGAAGCAGTAAATAGTGTGTATCGACAAAGAAATCATCCAACCTGCTATTGTGTACCGCTCCATGTAGTTGAGCAAGTTGACGTAGCAAAGCACAAACATAGTGACATAGGCGCGCTTGGGCGATATGGCAGGTTTCTCCTCAGCATCGGGTGCGAGAGACGCCAGGCTGTTTGCAAAAGAGCCATAAGGTAGACTGCAGCTGGAACGCAGGCTCCATCGGCGTACTGGGATGTCCTTGAAGGATGTGACTGATGCCCGTGGCTCCATAGCTAGCTGCTCTCCCTTCAGCTGAATGAGATGACCTAATGTTAAAACTCGTGCACAGATGCTCCACAGAGCTCGAGAATGACAATATAGTGCAGACACACAGTCCTGCTTTCATTAAGTCGCTGTCTTCAGGTTCAAGCGATGCAGCTTTTAGCAAATTTGATTCATGCGAGCTGTAGAAAGACTTTAGAAACAGCCCTTATGACAGAAAGTAATTACACAACCAAGAAGATATTTTTGCAACAGTGTCAAAATAACAGAGAAAGGAGAAGAAGGTTGTTCTCTAAATGCAGCTTATTTTCCAGTTCTTAAAACCGCGACAGAAAGGTTAAAGCATCTTTTAATTATAGCAAGTTTATGCATATGTAGAAAATAGACACAGCGAGTCGGAGCGTATAAAAATGTAACCTTGGCGTCTGCAACAGTGCGCCTCAGATATTTCAGCCCAACCAGGGTGAGGGACAACACTAAGAGCATTGTTTATGAACTCTTCTGTCCCAAAACAACACCGTGCAGCACAGCTGTAATCTTACAATGCAGCTGTGTTCCCATCATACGGGTATTTAAAACCATGCAAAATGTGAATTACAGGTGACTCACCGACTTGCTGATGTTTGGTTTTACTTTAAATCCTCTTATCTCATTCCTACAGATGTGCAGCTGCGAGAGAACAATGTGACTCTGAATGGCTCTGAGGCATGAAGACGCTAACAGGGACCTCAGTTTTGGGACGACTCGAGTTATATTAAGTTAGCGACAGGGCCAGCCCACTGAGGGTTGGTCATGCAGGGTTTCACACATATCTGTCTTAGTGAAGCAATGGCACAGACCAGCCAGACGTCATGGACATTTTCCACTTTGTGTTTCTTTTTTAAGAAACTTAGCACAAAATAAAGCAATAAATGTACTCATTTGACTTTTTACTAGTCTGATTCACCGTCCACAGCCTTACACTCACATGACAGCAAGGCAAACGGATCAGTTAAGTTAGTAGCTAAACTATACGTGTGCAACCTGCCATCCAATTTCAGGAGAGATTAAAAGGTGGTCCTGCTCTGCTCTGGAAACACCTGCCTTATCAAACCTTTACATTTCATCTGTTATCTCAGGACTGAGAGGTTATTTCTGACAGAAAGAAAACACTCGCTTTAGTTTCAGTTTCCAGTGACTCATCAAAACCACTGCTCTACAAACTACTGTTCACTTTGACACTGGGGTCATGTACATGTAAAAAAAAGAAAGAAATAATATTATAATAATAATAAAAATAATAATATGAGCCATTAAAAACCTTTAACCCTTTCATGAATGATGACGACGACCTCAACCTGGATTTTTTCTGAAGTATTTTTATTATAAATAAATAAACACGATTGTATTTATGTAGCACCTTTCTAGACAGAATCACAAAGTGCTGCACATAAGATAACAAATAATAAAAAGGTAAAACAGACAATATAAAACACGCAAACATTTAACCAAAAACAGTTTTAAAAAGGTGAGTTTTGAGGGGGTTTTTTAAAAAACAACCACCGAGTCCACAGTTCTTAATGTATGAGGGAGAGAGTTCATCATCTTTATGCATTTAGGTGGACACTGATGTGTATGTAGAGGTTTATGTGCAAGTACACCATCAACACTGACACAAATACACAAAAACAGCCTTTGAACAGCTGTAACTGTAGTGACCACTATGCATGAAAGGGTTCAAGTATGTAAAACCTTTTTCTTTCTTTCTTCTGAGGTTAAGACAAATAAGACGATGCCTTTGGCAGCAATAGGATGCCTGAAAGGCTCTAAAACACCAGGCTTACTGACAGGAAACTGGTGTAGTCATGCTGAATGTGAAGGTCTACATTTAACTGCGGAGTCACCAAAGCATCTGTTTGCTTTCAAATCTCATTAGATCAAGTACAGCATGTGTCACATATGTGGTCCCCTCTGCTTGGAAGTGCTGACTCTTATCTAGAAATCAACTTCCTGCCTCGCTCTTCAGATCAGTGAGAAATGGCTGCAAGTCAGTCAGTGTGTCAGAGCTTTCTTCACCTTTTCTTAAGATCAGAAAATATGTCCACTAACAATATGCAGTAAAGCATGAGAACATCTTACTGCTTTGCTTATCTTAATGTCTTAAAATTATTTATTTATAAAATAAAATGCCATTTAAATCTACTGTTTCCACCTTTTATTTGAAAAGTGTTTATCAACAAGAAAATCAGAAATTGATATCAAGCTATGTTGAAGCCTGATGCAAAATTCCTGCAGTATTTTTATTTTTATTGATTGAAGGTTTGTCAGAAGGAATAGATTCACTGTAGTTTCAGCATTCTGTTGCCTTTATTTCATTTCTACATACCAGACATTCATTAACCTAATTTCAAATTTTATTTTTCACATTTTTCACAGTAAAATTATGTCTCAGTAAAAAGCCCTCACTATGTACCTCTGGCACTTTTAAAGTATCTATCTACATGTATAATGTAACATAATGTATAATTAACAGGAGGTGCAAGGGTAAAAGGTAAACCCTGGAAGTAATTGAGAGAAATGTGAAAATGAAATACGATCATTTCAATAGTGCACGAAAAATAAAATCACGCCAACAACAACAATAAGAAGAAGAATATTCTATTTCTGAAGAAATTTTAAGTGTGCCTATGCCGCTGCTAATCAGTGTAGTTTGCCATTCATACGGCTACAGAGAGCAAAACTCAGCAGAGCAGCCATTCTCCACCATGAACTATGGTAAAACCAAACACCGCTCGCGCCTCACAGATCACAGCTTACAGTTTTGTGTAAAGATGAGGTGACTTCGTACAGCCCCGATTTGCAGACGCTGTGCGCAGAGGTTCATGAGCAGAAGTCCCATTGTACCACGGCAGACCCAACAATGTTTGCATGAACACGCTTTGTAGCATTACTTTATGGACCATTTTTCACACATGGTTGGTGTACCCTCCCCTGCAGCGGCACTGCAGACCACGCCCCGCCACACACATCAAACACGTAAAATAAATATTTGTGCACTTTTGCATTCACTTTTTGTTATTTTTACACAGTGTTCTGAATTATTAACAATGGTCTACAGCCAATCTCGTGTATTATTATACAAACTTTGGTTGTAAGATTCAGATAACTATTTAATAAAAGCTAAATATTTTATATGAGAGTAAGAAAGAAAAGTATTTCTTTGTGCCCCCCTCTCCCTGTTAATGCCCTACCTGCCCCCTGGCAACACTTTGCTAGACCCGCCCCTGCACAGTTACCAGCTGTCAGCTACATAGAAAAGGATCCTGGTGTTATTTGTCTCTCAGAAACAGTTCATAACTTCAACTCATTCATGTCACCTAAAAGGTAAACCTGTTTCTCCATCACAGCTCTGATGATTCAGTAAGGACGTCTCCTGGTTTCGACCAGCAGCTTTTACAGCTGTGGCTCCATCAAACATCAGCTGATACTAGAAATTAAAATCAAATGAATTCTAACAGCAGCTGATCAAGCTTAAACTGCTGCTGTTGTTTATGGCGCAAAGTGGGTGATAAACAAACACCAGAGAACAGCCATCAGCTGATCATTGATCAGTTTCATGACTGAAGTTGCAACAGGCGAGAGAATGACAGGGGAAGAGTCCGCTGTGCAGGTAACCACAGAGTAACTCCAGCTTTGTGTCTTTTTCCATTGTAGCTGAAGTCCGGGACAAACTGTGTTCCTTTTCAGCTCAACAGGAAACGCGTAATATTTTCTCTGAATGCGGGACATTCTGTTTGCACAGGACGGTTGGAAACTAACCTTATGAATACAATAAAGTTCACCATCAGTAACACAGCAGGCACCAGCTGTATAGAAAGTCTGTCATGCTAGCTAGCACGCAGTACGACTTATTGTAACTGATTGTAAAACGTCAGCACAACGAAAATATATATAACCTCTTACCTGAAATTCAGTTCACCGGCGGCGCGCGCGAGAGAGAGGAGGAGGGGGTGAAACGAGACAGAGAACGCCAGGTAAGCCATGCCCGGTCGCTCGGCGGCCGCCTCGTATCTCTCGGTTTCTCGCATGTCCTTTCTGTCATACACCGGTGGCTAGCTGCTCTCTGTTGTAGCTCCGCGTTAGCCACCATCAAACAACTGAGTTATTTTTTCCACATCGACCAGCATCTGGACAACCCACCACCTTTCACTGTTTATACCGTTACTAAAACGAATAAATGAATAATCAGCCCATATAAATGAAAAATAAGTCTAGCTGAGACACCGAGTCTTTGCATTCCGTTTGCACGGGATGGTTGGCAACTCTACTAACTAACCTTAAGAATACAATGAAACAAGCGTGTCTCGCCTAGAAACACTAATAAAGCAATATAAAAACAAAGTGGTGGCCGCCATTGTTTGACTCAGCAGAGGCGTGCTATGAATTGTGGGATATGGAGTTTTCCACCAAGCATACGCCCTTGCGATTACCATAACTATTCAATGGTTCGCGCAACCTTAAAAATTTCAACGGTTCCTGAAAGCTGTGACGCTGTGCGCGCCGTTGATATTGTCGTCATTACGGCAATACAAATAAGGGTAGACAAGGCCGTACCACAGCCAACATACCACTGGAGAGAGGCAACACACCACAAATGAAGTTTGAAATTCGTTTCAATGGGACCAAGAGATGGAGCCAACACACCACAAATAAATCTTTCCCATTCATTTCAATGGGCAAAAATTTGCATTAAATATTAATATGTCTCAAAACTGTGGGGTGAGTTACACTGTAAAATTTCAGGCGGAAACTGAGGAATAATAATAATAAGAAGAAGAATAAATCTGAGGAATAGTAATAAGTGTGCCTCTTGGCCAGGGTTGGGAAGGTTACTTTTAAAATGTATTCCATTACAGAATACAGAATACATGCCCCAAAATGTATTCTGTAGCGTATTCTGTTACGTTACTCAATGACAGTAACGTATTCTGAATACTTTGGATTACTTAATATATTATCATGCTTTTTACAACAACATGAATGTACTATTGCTGTGTGATTTATTACTATTACTGAAGGTCCGCGACTCCAAACTCCAAAGGGACCTCTGACTAATACGGCGGGGTCCCTGTCGGCTCATAGCCGAAAAATAGCTTTACTTTGTTGTGTGGGTCAACTTTTCTTGCGAGAGACAGAGAGAGGCGTTGAAAGGCTCCAACGGAACTTATTGTTTTCGGAGGAAAACACGAACACGGTGTACAGTCGAGTCTTAATAGCTTGCTTACAACTGGGCTCGTCAGGCTCTCTTCTTGGCTGCAGTGGTTATTATTATATTTACATGCTTCCAGCTCCCGTTTTCCTCCATGACAGCTCGTACCTTTCCACTCCCCTTTTTCTCCCTCCTCGCGCTCACAGACACATAACGTGTATGGCAGTCCATTCTCCCTGCAACACGGACTACACTGCCCATGATGCTACATTCTTTAGAGCTATGCTTGTAGCATTCTGCCTGTTAGCTTAGCACAACAACAACAACAACAACAACGAAAAGGCCTCTCTCACCCAGGAAACACACAGTCGCAGAGAGAGAGAGCGTGTCGCCCTGTAACCATGGCAACCGTAACGCTGCCGCCTGGAACAGCTGTCAAACAAAACCCAAACAGTCCTGACCCCGACAAAATGAAACAGGAAAGTACCGCAGTGTAATCCATTTATTTCAACAAAGTAACTGTATTCTGAATACCACCTTTTTAACCGGTAACTGTAACGGAATACAGTTACTCATATTTTGTATTTTAAATACGTAACGGCGGTACATGTATTCCGTTACTCCCCAACGCTGCTCTTGGCATAGGCACACTTAATAATATGAACACTGCAAGTAAAACCCTATCCACAAGGTGGGAGTAATGCATCACTGAGGACGCGAAGTTCCCCCAAACAAATCAACGAAGAAGAAACGATAGCGGCAGGGGAAGGCGGCGAAGAAGAATAATGACGGGAATGCTAAACGGAAAATAGAAGGAACAGAGTCCTGTTAAGTGAACATTAAATTAACGCTGTTACCGCGAAATATTAACATCGAACATAGCTGCATTACATTGGTATAAGTATGACAGAGCCTCAGTCAGCGCTGTTACTCCGGAGACAGCTTGCAGGTAATTAAACCGTCATGTTAACTGATGCTGGGTGCCGAGCTAACGACAGCGGTGCCGCGGCTTTGATTGAAACCGTGGTGCTGGCGCAAACTGTTTTCTTGAACATTCTGCATTAACGTTAAGATCCGAATGACAAAAGAACTGCCTGGGGATTACAACAGTGGGAGCAAACAAACACCTCCCTCGTTTAGTAAATGAAAGTCTTCAGTGTTTCAGGAGACCAAGTGATTTGTGTGTGTGCCTTTCGACACTGCGTCCTGTTTGCAGATGAAAGCCGCTGTCAGAAGTCCCAGCGACTTTCTATTACGAGGCTAGCTCAAATCACTGAGCCTAATGTTAGCCTGTAGCTGGCTCGCCTGACTTAATGTGTTTACATGTATTTTTAACCGAGGAGCCAAGTAGTGTTTCTCGTTTTTTTAACATGACGTTTAGCAGTTACGTGATCAGTGTGATATTAGTGGACATTTTACGCATAAATGTAAGTACAGTTTCAGTAGTTAGAACATGTCCCTACCACTCACCGCAGAATTAACGTGTTTAACCAGCTAGCTAACTGTAGGCTAACGCTAGCCGCTGTCACTGTTGTTAGCGTCAACGCGCTAAGCTAACGTTAATCTCGCATTACCTCAATTCGCTCTTTTAGCAGGGTCAGCTGCGAATTATATTTAGCCACTCTAAAATTAGCGACCTTTCAAAAGTAGCTGCGTCGAACAGGCGCTGTATAATGTTTTAGGTTTGTAGCACTGATGACGTGTTTCAGGTTTTGTTTAAAATGAAAATTTCGCATGGAGACTGTAAGGGTCACTGGGTCCACCTTTATACTTGTCCCCACATTCTGCCCTTCAAGGTGACCGGTAATTGACCTAAACCTCCATATTTTGGAGCAAGGGTTGTAGATTAATTCAGGAAATTAAAGCTCCACGGATTTCGTGTCGCAGGGCTATTGCATTGATAAAAAGGCTGCCTTTCTTTGTTGTACATTCATACGATCTGCAGTCTACAATTAATGCTTGTGATTCTTATAAGCCTTGAAATAATGATCAGTAAGCATCAGACTTCACCGAGCCAGCTCCTTTGAAATGTTTCTGTTTGGCCTATCAAGAAAAACAAATTCTTCCATCATGTTATGTAAAAGGTTAAACTGTTTTATCAAACGGCTGCTCGATCGATAATCCCAAAGTCCACTTAATGTATTATGATGTAAAAAATCGACATTTAGTCCGACTCATGAGCACAGATTTACAGTTGTTTAAAATGTTGTTTACAGTGAGCGCTGCCATTCTTGATGCAATGTTGGGTGTTCATGGCAAATTGGTAACATAGGTGGGAACTGCTAAGTAGTTTGAGCAATATGCTCATTCTCACTCAAGCCCCTCTGAGTGTCATGTTGTCACCTCAGCCACCTGAAGAACAGTGTAATGCACGTAGGTTATGTAGTGGAGGTAGTGTGCTGTATGTCATAGTGAATGACTTTGATTTTTTTATATTCAGAGCTGAACAAAAACCCAGTGGAGGGATTCTCAGCAGGCCTGATCGAGGATAGTGATCTCTACAGATGGGAAGTCCTTATCATTGGGCCTCCAGACACCCTGTAGTGAGTCTCCCTGTCTTGTGTATGGGTTGAGATGAGTTTTGGCCTGTGTGGATTTGTTTTTAAACTTTGGTACCTATCATGCTGATTTTTTTCATCTTTCCCCCTCCCCCCACAGTGAAGGTGGTGTGTTTAAAGCTCATCTGACCTTTCCCAAAGACTACCCTCTCAGGCCACCTAAAATGAAATTTATCACAGATATTTGGCACCCTAACGGTAGGTACCGGTGAAACATGCTATCAGTGTTATTATAAATGTTTTTAAGCTTACGAAATGAAGGCTGTATGATCTTTGTGTTAATGTTACATGTTATTAGTTTTATTGTGACTCTACTGTTGATTAAAATTATTTTGCCATCTTTACTACATGGTGTGTTTATCCTGATGGAGGTAAAAGCCTCTTTTTCAAAAGTGGCAGCAAAGACTGTAAACACACGCAGAGACATAAAGGCCACTGATGTACGAGCACGTAAACAGCAGCCAGATAAAATTCAGTAAAATCAAGAACCAGTGCGACCTCAGCAGTAATCCCACTGACTATGGGAACTATTTTCTCAGACCTTTAAAATAAGGTCTAAGGAAAATAAGGACTAACCAGTGGGAAAGTTTGTGGACACACACATTTGGCCACTTAGCAGGAGCAGGCAGTGAAAAGCAACGTACACACTTTCCAATGAGAGCATTTTCTACTTCACAAAATATTAGTAATCTTTCTTTCTTCATCTCCAGTTGACAAGAACGGCGATGTATGTATTTCTATTTTACACGAGCCTGGGGAGGACAAATATGGCTACGAGAAACCAGAGGAGCGCTGGCTGCCTATCCACACTGTGGAAACCATCATGATTAGTGTTATCTCTATGCTGGCAGACCCAAACGGTGACTCGCCAGCCAATGTGGATGCTGCAGTAAGTCTGACTGTGTAAAGATCTTTTGCATGTGTCCTTTTATTCAATCCAAACATTTCTATAAAAGTCCAGTCGTGAGTGAATCTTTCTGATTTTAACATTTTGTGTAAACGTCCCCCTGCAGAAAGAATGGCGGGAGGACAGACACGGCGCATTCAAAAGGAAAGTTGCCCGTTGTGTACGAAAAAGCCAAGAGACTGCGTTTGAGTGATGCTCAGCACGGCTCTGGGCTTCATGTTTTCAGGGTAAGGATTGTTCAGTCATCCCTAAACTTAATCTGGAGAGCACCACCACAGATTCTCCATTAAGACAATTCAGTTGGCTCAAAACAAGAACGTTTATAGTAATATACTGGTAAACAAATTCACAACTGTAAAAGATTTAGGATAAATATTAG